TATCTTCCCTTCACACACAGCGTATGTTGTTGATACTAACTACTCCTGTTGTCATTTAAACTCAAGAAACAGATGGAATCAATTAAGTGCACAACATGTACAGTACATGGAACTTGAGTCGACTGAGTTCAAGTGCAGAAAAATACGGATGTGATTAGTGTTGAGATGCGGAAGTGGGTGTTTCTGGGATGCTCGAAATGACTGTTGACCTTACTCAAAGAGTGTTTGTCCAAACTGCACCAAACGTGTGACGCAAGCTCCCTTCCTGATAAACATTGATATACCTGACACATTTTTCCATTGTCATTAAGTGCTGGCTTCTTTACAAGCCATAACCCAGAGGAAAAGATTAATCAGATGCTCTCTGTTGGTAAATATTACTAAGACAACAGTCTTTGTCCCGCTCTAACATTTTGTGTTATTCCAGGCTCTTTGGGCCAACTGATAGTGGAACGTGGTCGACTGCCAGAGGATTTAAGTCTCCACTACCACTCTCAAGTTTTAACAGCGTTGGAGTACTTAGTGAAGAAAAGGGTGGTGCATCTCGATATTAAAGGTATATTATACAAATACCATACCTTTGAAATCTTAGATGACTTGAATGTTAGCCTCATATTTATGATGTTTGGTGTGCCCACTTTATGACTGAACATGACACGTATCTTAAGAGTGAGCTTTTATAAGAAATTTAGTGTAATTTAATCAATTTACAACAGCAAATAAATCCACAAAGTGAAGTTGTTAAGTTTTATCCACTTTTTATCTCTATATAATGTACAAATTAATAATGACTGGGACTGTTCCTGTGACTTCCTAAATATTGGTGATGTTGTTGAGTGATAAAGTATGGAATGTAAATGTTAAATCCAAAAAAGTAACAATATATCGATATTGGCACTGCCTCACAACACTTTCATTATGAACATTAACAGCTAGAGAACAATAGTAATAACAGTAAAACTAAGAAATGTGTCAGCTTGACTTTTACTTGTTGTGGTAGTGGAAAGTTGAAAAAAAGACAGAGAGAAAGTCAGATTTGTAATTAGTTCTCATCAGAGGATTTTGTGTCTATGCGCAGCTGTTGTTTGGAACACAAGTGTCATAGATACAGTCTAGATTTGATCTTCAAGCACCTGGGTTGTGAAACCAGATTACCACAGAGAAAAAGACGGGCTGGGAATTTCCCACAGTGTGACTCACTGCTGTTCTCTAGACACGGCGCATGTGCACAAAATCAGGAGAGCGAGAGAGAAAGGGAGAACAAAACGGAGTGAGGGGGGGGATGGGACAAAGAGCAGGAAGTAGTTCGAAAGAGAAGAAGAGGAGAAAAAGTACAATGGACAGAAAGAATACAGAAGATGAAAATAAAGTGGAAAGGGTTATATAGAAGAACAAAGGAAACACAAAAACAGAACAGAAACTGAGATTGAGGAAGAGCAAAAAAGACAGAGAATATCTTAAGAGCTGACAAGACATGTGTTGTGGTGTATCTCAAGCGCCATCTGCTGTCTGTAATTTCTCAGGAAAAGCTAGACAATAATACCACATCTCTTCTTTATCTGCGTACGGTTTGTGACTAGTTTCCACATCCATTCCACATTAAAGAGTTTAGCACAGCAGCTGTCCCTGTGTGACTTCATATTTTCCATTCATTTGGCTCCTTTGTCTTAGACTGTTTTGTCTAAGCAGCTGCCCTGTTTCTAATTATGTCATCTAAAAACTACACAGCACAAGTCATGGAAATCAACCAAGCTCCACTGACATCACACAGCAGCACACAGATTAATGCAATGGATTACTGACTCTACTTGTTTCTCACAGCCGACAACGTGTTGCTGTCGGACGATGGTAGAGACACCTTCCTATGTGACTTTGGACATGCCGAAAGGCTCGACAATCAGGGTCAGAGCCTCAGTAGGTCCAAAGGTAAATACTTTGTCACTGAGTAATTTGGCAAGATGTGCAATTTCTCCACTTACATGTCCGAATTCACAATTTTCTCAATGTATTTGATTACAGATCTGAAGGGCACAGAGACTCACATGGCCCCTGAAATAATAAAAGGAGAACCCCGCGGAGCTAAAGCAGATGTGTGGAGCAGCTGCTGTATGTTACTGCACATGCTCAATGGTTGTCAGCCTTGGACAAGATACTATAATTGTCGCCTTTACTTGAAGGTATTCTTCGAATACTTTATTGACAGATGTTTGTTCTTTAGAGTACTCGTATCAAGCCTTGACTGAATTTCCTTGGTTGATTGGTTTACAGATTGCTAATGAGCCCCCGCCTCTGAGAGAGATCCCACCTGACTGTGGCTCTCTCACTGCTGAAGTTATAAAAGCAGGACTCCAGAAGGATCCACTGAAGAGATCATCAGCAACTGACCTCAGAGAAAAAACTGACAGAGCTCTAAGAGAAGGTAAATCTGCACTGCATCTGGCTTGATGGTGGTTTCAGCAGTGAGTTTACAGACAATTGAGAGTTTGTTATTTTGCATTTATATGGTATGGAATGCTCTTTTTAGTGACCATCAGTTGACCACATTGAGTTTAGTAATACCTGCTATACATTTTTTAATCAGTTTATCGTAGGTACATAAGTTCATTTCATTTTTATTGATTTGATTGCAGTTGGAGGACTCACCAACCCAGTGAAGGGTCCCTATTTAGAGCCCTTGCTTAACACCAACAAACCAAGTGACTCCATGCAACTCATCAGCAGCAGTGCTGACTTTGAGGATGAAGAGATGCACCAAGAGTCCATGGAAAAGCTGATCACAACAGGGAGGAGGACAAAGAAACTGACTGATGAGGGAGAGGCAGACGCTGATTCTAAGAAATCGAAACGAGGCTCGCCTCATGAACCACAAATGCTGATCTCGGAGCTGAGCCACAAGAGGGACAACAAAATCACCACGGTACCTGAACTTGAGCTACGGAAGCTGGTTGGAGGTGAGCTTTTCTTTAAGCTGTATTTAATTTCAGGTGTTAAGTATGGCAGATGCTTGAACTCTGTATGCTTTTGTTTTTTCGTTTGTTTGCAGATTTCTATCTGAGCAGCCTCTCCCAGCTTCATTCTGCTGAGATGCAGGAGCAGTTGTTGTCTTGCCTTAGCAGTGACCCTTACTCGAACTGGGAACCATGGGACAAAAAGGTAAATCAAAATGCAGAGCAGAAATAAAGCCAAAATATCAGGGAAAACATGTTGTTAGGCGAACAGTTTTTAAAAGAACTTCTCTGGCGGCCTATTGTTTTGGTTAACAGCAGAAATAATAGACCTACTGTTTGGTTTGTGTTCCCCTTTTTCCAGGACTCTGGCCGCTGGTCTCTGAGCCCAGGAGACGACCTCAGCTCCGGTGTCTTCTCCTACAATAGCCAGCCAGATGTGCAGGTGTTCAGTTTGGATTTCCTGGGTCACACACAGCAGCCACCACCTTGCTGTTTTGAAGGTGAGATAAAAAGCTCTTCTGTTTAATATGATACCTAATTGTATATAATTTTTTTTCTCTTTGGTCATGTGCCTCACTCTGCTTTATGATTGGTCCAGGGGTGGATGTCTGCATCAGAGACTTTAGTGATAAGAAAATCCGGATCAGAGAGATGCGTCGGGTGAAGGTGGGCCATATTGCCACTGGAATCAGTGATCAGGTGAGGTATACTCACAGAATCCCACACTATTATATCCAAAAAGTATATGTTGTTTGTCCATTTAAGTAGAAAAAATAGAAGATTATACTAGTTTGACGTTTATCTGTGTCTGATTTAGATCTCTCAGAGGGTTTACACACTGAAAACTGAGCACGGCCAGCAGATTGGTCACGATGAGGAGGTACAAGAGTCCGGCCTGGAGCTCCGCTGTTTTCCAGCTCCAGACTTCAGCACTTCTTGGAGATGGAGAATCAAAGATGGCATGCTGGAAACTCGATAGAGCCCTCAGCTACTTTATTCCAGCTGCAATTTCATATTAACCGCTCATCATTTCATGTTGTGCTTCGAACAAGTGTCTTTGGCTTTTGTTGATGTGTGAGGGACCATAAAACATTTGTGAGCCTCCACTTTAACAAACTGCTTTTGCCTAAAATATCGTAAATTAAAAATAAAATGAAATATAAAAGAGGATTGATTTTTAGCATTGTGTCTTGTAATGTTGCATGTGTCAATGTTTATGTTGAGTCAATAAATAGAAAACTGTGAAGTCTGTGAAAAAAGTTTGATCTCTCTTTTTATTTCATAAAAAAAAAAACAAGTTTGTAATACTTATAAATTGATAGTTCACATGATTTAGAAGTTACAGCTATATAGTTACTAATTATATTATTACTATTACTATAATAAATATAATGGTTTCCTATTAGGATAAAGTTGGTCTCATTTTACTTTTCAGCCTTTTAAGGTTATATCCAATATCCTTTAATTAATAATAATAATAATAATAATAATGATAAAAGAAAGGCCTTAGTCTGATGACTGATGACTATGACATATTTACCAGAAACTTTGGTGCAGAGCAAGGCTAATGCCAGAGAAGACATTATTAATATCTAAAGATTATTTATCAGTTTGATAATCCACCATTTCTCCAAAATTATCTGAAGGCTATACTTTGGATTACTAAGCCTTGGGTTATGTTTATAAAATTGAAAAGGTTGATGTCTTAACTTGGACATTAAATAATATCAGTGTGCTTCCTGGCGTCTTACTTTGCATTAAAAATTGACACTAATGTATAATCTAACTAGCACATTGTTTGTGTTGATCTATACAAGTTCAAACACCTCTCGGGAGACTTAAGTTTCTATTTGTCTCTACATTTCCAGCAACATATGCATTTTCTAGGAACAGGAAAACAGGGATAGCTGGTATGCTGATTTACTGACATAAGAAAAAGTAGGGGGTGTGACTGATGGCAAAAAGTCTGAGCCATATTTTATGAGATCATACTGCTGTAAGCCTTTTTAGTATAGTCAACATTCTGTGTGTGATTAACGCACAGCTACAGAGAATAGTTAAAAGATTTATTTTTAATATTACAGCATACAAAGTCACTGCAAAAAGATTTCAAGGGAGACTTGAAGGAAATTTTACTCTTACAAATATGATATAGAAAAGGTGAAAACTTGAGAATATCAAAATGATTTCAGAGTTAAAAAAGAAAACAAAAACCACCAAGGCACTGACAAACAAGAAGAACGTATAAAAAGACTTTTGCTGTTTAGACAAAGTCGCAGTTTGAATAACTCACGTACAAAATACAGTACTTTGAATATGTGTAAAGTGAGGTAAGAATCTGTGAGCAATCAATTGCTTTCTGTGTCTGCAGCGTCAAACCTTCAGTAGACCAAAAGAACACCGAGAAGTAACAGAATTATTGAGTGTCACGTTAAGGTCAGAATGCTGGTCAAAATGCCCCCAAACACCATATGATTGTATATTACACAAGATTGCAGTTCTTTCACTTTCCTTTCAGAGAGATTATATGACTATTTTTTTAACCATCTGATGATTCATGTTAAACATAAACACAAGTTTATACAGAAGAATTGGGTGCTGCACCAACTGGAAGAAGAGAAATGAACTGGGGGTTAATTAAACCCAAACTTTTATCAGAGTTCTCTTAATATATACCGTTTTCTAAATATTTCCGCAAAAATATCTCTTTAACTCCATGGAATATGACCACCTTCTTACACGTTCAGTGCCAGAAGAACATTACAGATTTACACCAGTGAACACTCACAAATACATGAGAATGTGGATTGGCTAGCATACAGACAATGATGTAAAATGGATGGAGAGAGTGGGAAGAGCAGAAAGGCAATTTCTGTGAAAAAAAAAGAAGCAAAAAACTAAACAAAACAAAACAAGGGAAACTCTTAATTTGATCAAAACATTTCTCATAATATCATTTAAGGTAGAAAACAGAATGCAGTGACTTGTGTACCAAGTAAAAAATAAATTAATTAAAATGCATTCCTTGTTCAAGTCTTGACAACCTCTCCCCATCCTTCAATTTTGTGCACGTAATCCTGCACAGCTCGCTTCCCCAGTGGCATAGGCATCTTGAGTGCAACAGCGCTATTAGTCCAACTCCCAATTCTTACATATGAATAAGAGGCAGAAATGAAGAACAATTAATTCGAGATAAGTTCTTCCTGTTGAGTGTATTTCTTTCTGCATTCTTCTTCCTCCTGTGCCATTTCCCTCAATTGTAATTCTTGCTGTCTTTCTCCTCTCTGCTCTTCATGCTTCCCCTCACATCTTGCGAATGACAAGAACAGTGGTAAGGACTCCTGCCAAGAAAACTCCGACCGTCTGCCATGTTGGTGTGCCAAAGTAGGAGCGAATACCCTCCTAAAAATGCCGAAAACACAGGAAAATTAATATGGACACATTGATTATTGCCAATAAATTAGGTTTATTAGTTTGCTCCTTACCCAGCCGCCTTGCTCCCTGATCCAGTTGATCACATGTTCCCGGAGATAGTCTATGGTCCAACTGATAATGGTTCTGATAATATCCGGAATCTGAGTTACAAGAGCCTGTAAAGGTGTAAAGAGAAGATCTTTAGATTTTTTTAAATTCAATAATACATGCCTTACTTTTGTTATTTATTAATTTTAAAATACCAAACATAGCAGTTTCACGTACTTTGATAACGAGTCGGCATGCAAAGTAGAACAACGCAACCACCCTGCCCCAGTTAAATATTCCATCTGAAAAGATCTCATAGGCCACTCTTATAAAAACCTCTCTTGTGGGACAAAGCGAAGAGTCATTTATCATTCTAGGGAAAAAGATTGAATAATGGTAAGCAAATAATTAAGTTATTACAGTTATAGTTGAACAAACTTGCATATCATAATACTCCACGCCTTTAAAGTTGCCTGAAGAGGCACACAGACAAGTTACCAACCTTTGGAGCTCTACATTTCCATCCAGCTCGTCTCCAATCTGCTGCAGGCACTGAGCAAGCTTCTTATGTTTTGGGTCAGTCAGCTGGCTTCCACCAAGCTGTTCTCTCGTCACTGCACTATTGCCATCTCTTTGCCTCTGAACTCGCTCATAGATGAAACTATACAGCACAAATACACAACAGTAAGCCATCTTACACTTTCTCTAGTTTAACAGCAAGAAACCAAAGTGAAGGGGTTAAGATGACCTGGTTACCTAAGCTGGTTGTCATCATTGGACCTTGGCATATTAGCACTTTCAAAATGGACTGTTACTTATATATAGCACTTTACTACTCTCTTTGAGCGTTGAATGTGTTTTCTTACAACAAACCTCGTTCACATATGATACATATTTTCTCTGTGCCAAAGCACTTTTAACCCAACGTTAGGACACTAGCACTCTGACGGATGTGTCAAGGTCAACATGAGATTCACTATTTATGTTGACATGCAACCTAGAAGATCAAACAAACAGCCTTGCAATTGGAGGTGATCAGCTCTTCCTTCTGAAACAAGTCAACAAAGGCACTCAAACTCCTTACACCTAATCCCTTATATCAAGTTGATTTCCTTCACAAAAATGATATATTCCACTTAAAACTGCTACCCAAGAGTGTAGTGTGTACTCACTCCTGTAACAAAATAGTTCCGACTTCCAGTATCTGATCTCCGGAATTCCCTGAAAGACAAAGGTAGACACTCATTAGATGACTCAAATGCTGATAAATAAGCATTGCGCCAAATTATTATGAGATAACTTTAGATGACAGAAAAATTATACGTCAATTCTCAGTTTCATCGTAGGTATTTTTTCGTAACAATTAGTTTAAACACGTTTTTAAAACTATTGTTTTTGTAAATTATTTATATCTCCTGTTCAACTCAACTCTAGACACCTGTTTGTCCGTAACATATACAAAGGCAATACATCAAATCTGGTGTTAGTTATTTAGTTGATAGTATTAATTTAAGTTAATTCGCGTTCAACACTGTCGTAACTGAGGAAATTTGCCATTTTTTTAATGTCAAAAGGATGCCGTTTCCAAATGTGTACGTTTCGCTTTCGGTCAAACGCGTTTGCTTACTCTTTGTAACGCGAACATCTACACAACGCAGTGCTAACGCAAAGCTAACGTTTAGCTACTTTTGCTAAGCTAAGCCCTATCCATGTTAACGATACACTTAGCAAGCAATAAAGCGGCAAACTAAATGTTAACTGTTAAAGCGCCACATTATCTGTGTCTATCGGACTCCCACCGACACTGTCAGAGTCGAAATATATGTATTTTATTTGTTGACGATAGCTGCTACTACCTTGATCGCCTCCTCCTGGGTGTGATGCCATCTTCTTTTCTGTTTGGGTCGTTTCTGGTTCCCGTGCAATCACGTGATAACAGTTATTTGTTCGTACCAGTGGGCGGCACTTGCCACCCTCACTTTTTCACCCTCTAGTTTAATTTACAAATATACAAATAGAACTATAGGCAACAGAAATAGGGAAAAACTATAATGTCCCCTACCGCACGTAAAGTGGTAGGATAACTCTGTAATTTTAGTCCAAAAAAGTCTGTTAAATCTTTTTTTAGCCTCGCCTAAATGAACGTCATTTCCCGTACCTCGGTGTCTTCCGTCCGTCGCGCGCATACACAGGCCTCTTTACGACTCGGCTGGCAAAGATGGCGGATGCACAAGTATGTTCGGCAAAACGGCGTGGTGACTTTAAATCGACATATTTACACTTTAATAAACCTTTTACTCATCTAGAATTAAGTATATGCCATTATAGTGTTCTTATATTTGTTCCTGAGTCACTTCAAACTACATTTACGCGCTTATAGTCAACATTTTTTGCTCCTCTGTACTCCCTCGTGCAGCGCTCAAGTAGCCGGAATGGTAGCCTGGTTAGCTTAGCGTGCTATTACTTACCATTCCCTATTAATACGGCTTCTACTCTTTGCATGATGTGCGTGTTAAGTCTTAGCTTTTAGGCACGTCTTCTGTAACTTGTTAGGCTGCATGTCATATTAACCAAAAGTGAACATAGGTTTAGTGAGAGGAAGTAAGTCTTAAGTCGACTAACGAGCGGCGGCGTGTGAGAGAAATGCGTGGTGAAGGTGATGTGATTTCTATTTCAAAGCTTTAACTCGCTGATCTGTATTTCTGACCAGACCGAGAGATCCTATCAGAAGCAGCCTACCATCTTCCAGAACAAAAAGCGTGTTCTGATCACAGATGGTGGCAAGGAGACCAAGGAAAAGCTTCCTCGCTACCACAAGAGTGTTGGGCTGGGCTTCAAAACACCAAGAGAGGTAAATGAGTCATTTCAAGGCATTTTTCAAACGTTTAAATACATTTAACAACTATTTGGTTGTAAGCTGCAGATGATGTTTTTCTCACGATGGTCTTCCAAGCCTGCAAGGTTCTGACGACAATGCCTTTTGGCAACACTGATGCAAACTTGTGATTATGATTTCATGTTAGATTTGATAGTCTTATCGCTTATTCATATACAGTAACATGTTTGTTTTTTCTCCAGGCTATTGAAGGCACCTACATTGACAAGAAATGCCCCTTCACTGGAAATGTTTCCATCCGTGGCCGTATTCTCTCTGGTCAGTTGAATGTCTTGTAGCACAGACAAGTGTTTTTACAGACGTCCTAAACTTAACTTTATTTTAAATGAAACCAGAACAGTGTAATTTACTAGAAACCACATGTCTTCCTTTTTTGTCACTGTCCTGCAAATGATGCTTATCTCACGATGGTCTTCCAAGCCCTTTGGGTTCTGACGACAATGCCTAATGGCAACACTGATGTAGTCTAGTGACAAAAGTACTAAGAGCAGTTTTCTAAATCTATCCAGTGCCATTTTATGACTAGAGAAAGTGGTATAACACAAAATGCTGTCCATTGTCTGTCTGAAGGTGTGGTGACCAAAATGAAGATGCAGAGGACCATTGTCATCAGACGTGACTACCTGCATTACATCCGCAAGTACAACCGCTTTGAGAAGAGGCACAAGAACCTCTCGGTCCATCTGTCACCTTGCTTTAGGTATAGCACCTCACATTATGTTTTGTTAAATAACCCTTTAGTTAATAACTGTGTTCCTTCAAAGCCTCTTATTTTGCTGCATATGATGTTTTTTCTCACGATGGTCTTCCAAGCTCAGGAAGCTCTGACGACACTGCCTTTGGCAAAAACTGATGCAGCTTTGCTTCAGTATGACAACATTTTCTGTCAACTTATTTTTGGACATGCATACCCATATTAAATTCCCCTTTGCACTGTTTTTTTTATTTTTTTTATTTCTTTGTTTGTTTTGTCTTCCGCAGAGACGTCACAGTTGGAGACATTGTGACTGTCGGGGAGTGCCGACCCCTCAGCAAGACAGTGAGATTTAACGTCCTCAAAGTGACAAAGGCCGCTGGAGCCAAGAAGCAGTTCCAGAAGTTTTAGATGTGACTTTGAACGAGATGTCTGCCGTCGGCTAATTTGTCTCATTTTGAAATAAAGAAAATCTTGGTTAAATTTTCCGGAGCAGACTGAAATATAAAACATTTTTTGTGTGGATTTATTTCCAGTAGTTTGAGCATAATAATGAGATGGCACTCTACGTATTACTGGTCACTGTAACAATATTATTAATGCATTTATGAAGTACTTGTATGAAAATTAAGTATTTTAACTTTGGGTGCTCTGCTTCTGGTCTAAAAGTCTATAAAATCTGGAATTGCAGTCATGATAAGGTACACTCTCTTTCAATTCTAAAATTTATCAGGGCACAAAAGTTCTGGTTCTAGAATTATTTAAATACAAGCCTGGATGAGCAGCAACAAATAACATACTGTGAGTGAACAAAAACAAAAGAAAAATGCAGAAGCAGTGAGTTAAAATACATCAAGATTCAACAGCGTGTTTCTAAACTGTTCACCTTTAAAAACAGCACAATGAACTGTAGTGACTGCATACAAAGACTATCAGTCTTTTTATTGGGTATGAGTTTGGGCTCACTTTCTTTCTTACTGCATTAGTGAGGGTTTCTCTGCACAGCATTTTAATTGTGTGGACTTTGCTAATACAACATCTTGATTCTTGTCTTTTTCAACTATTGTAAGTTTGTTGCTGTGCTTGGAATCATTATACTGTTGCATGACCAGGTTTGAACCAGGCTTTATTGGTCAAACAGATGGCCTCACGTTTGGCTCTACAAGATTTAAAGAGCATTGTTCCCAAGTCCGAGGAACAATTGCTCCCAGATTGTTAACAATTTATCTCCTGAATGCTGCAGCAAACTGCCAAGAGAGGGATATAAAATAGAAGTTCTTTCATTTTCTTTTATAGATGTTCTCACACTTGCTGCTTTCCCTATTGTTTTCCGTGTAAGCAATAAGGGTGGACTTGATTTTCACACACATTTTTTTTGAATTTTGAATTGAAATTTTTGAATTTTGATTCAAATTGTCAGATTATTAATCGCATGGTGTAATATGTTTTGTAATTCATCTGGACTATAGTTTGAGGTCATGTAAGCCCTGCTACAGAAAACATGTTTTACATCTTCATAAATTAAACCTTAGAAATGAAAGAGAGTGTACATTGTTTTTCTCAAAACTAGTAGACAAAATAATGCAAACAAGGTGAGGCTTTGGAAGGTTTAAACATAGTTGAAGTTGAGTAGATAAAGTTGAATCTATATTTTCATATTCAGTGCTTTAGTTCATTTACCAGCTTTATTGGTCTTTCTCAGGGTGGCTGCTCTACTGTTTTAATAAAATAAATCCCATAGATTGTCCCTACAAGGTACATTACTGCAGCTGGCAGGTGTTTCTAGTAGCCTACAAATGCTTTTAGTGATAAATTGTAAATAATTCTACCTTCAATAACTTGGGTGTCCTAAGGCTGAAAGAGAGTTATTTCCTAACTGAAGACTAGTTAAAGCAGCTTGGCAATGATGGAACATTTAGCTTAATAAGTATGTTTTTTAATTAGCCTGTAAAAAGCATTAAATCCATGCAGTTGCTAGACATGGCACTAAAAGCACAAAAGAGATTATGAAATGACTACTGGACCAATGAGATGGAAGATGCAAATGAACCTCTTCAACCTCACTTTTCCACTTGAGAGTCTTGAGAGTCTAAAAAAACAATTAGTTTTGTGCACAAAAAACAAAAAACCCACATAGTGTCTCACTCAAACACTGGGTCATGCTGTAGCATGTATTCATAATTATTTTTTAAGCAATCAAAATGCATCAACCTGTTCCTAACCAATCTCCCTATTATCACCAGCAGGGGGCAACAGATAGCTGTTTGAATCTATTTACTCTTGAATCTAACATATGTGGTAAATGGATTAGCCACCAGATTTTGTCCGATTGCAATCATTCATGAAACAAATGACAATACTTGCTTTGTAAATAAAAATTATGTTAATAGAATTTTTAATAATAAAATATAATAATAATAAGAAAACAATAGATAGAATATACTTTATTGATCTCACAAAATAGTACAATACAATAAATAAACAACAAAGTAAAAGTGGCAACAGTGGTAAAAAAAATAAAACAAAGAAAAGTACAAATGAATTATGAATATGCATAAAATATGCATTTTCATCTCTCACAGAAAGAAGAGTTATATAATAATATATAAAATAATATTGGATTACTGTTGAATAACATTAATGTCTATTTCAGTGATTCCAAAGGTGTGATTCAGGGCCTCCTGTAGGGCCATTAAGGTACTGCAGGTGGGCAGCAGCAATAACAGAAATTCAGTTTGAATTTAATCTGTATGTATGTACAATTAAACATAATGGTATTAGTTATACTTAAAAAACAAACAAACAAATCAAAACAAACCACAATGTAATTAAATGTAAAATTAATGCATGAATTAATAATGATAATAAATAAAATACATTACATTGATTTTTTTCAAATCATGTCTCTTGGATATGTAAAGTGACACTTGCATAATGCTGCAGCCACAATATGACCTCATTATTTTGTACTGTTAAGGCCCAAAGATGCTCAGTGTGTCTGAGATTCAGAGAAATACACAACAAGTGTGCTTCTCAGCTGATTCATTTGCATTTGTCCTTATTTCTGCTTGAGAAGCTGACAGCTCTTCTGTGTGGGAATCAGTCAGCCCCCCCCCACCCCCTTCACCGTCTGCTAGCTGAGTGCCGTGACAGAGGAGTCACTATTAACAGTACATGCTTTTTTCTCAGTGCTCTAGTGATTGTGGGACATATGGTGATGATGTGAAAAGGAGAAAGTGGTTAATGTGAGCTCAGCCATGTAAGTAGTCCTGTCATTTAATGATTAGCAGACTGAGCAGCTGTTCTTCTGAAGCTTTGCTATGGAAAAACAAATATTTCCCTCAATTACAGTTTTTACTTTTGTTTTTGCTGTAATAATAATAATGTAGCTCTCCACCCATGCTGCAGTGTTTACCTAAACAGCAGTGTCCCAGCTTCAAACCACAAATTGTCCTCTGTACCGGGGCTTTCCCAGCTCTTTCTCTCCTT